GAGAGGAAGGGAGAGGGATATTCACCTCTACTTACCGTATGCAGGGAGGAGACTTGCAGGATGCGTAAAGCATCCGCTGATGGCGTCATGCGGCTGGTTTATTACCACCCGATGTGCTGGAACGCGCGCTTGAACTCGTTGTGCCCGTGCACCAAGATCTTGGGATGTTGCAGATCGTGACGAATCAGGGAGCATCGAGCACACGACGCAAATGACGACGACGACGACGAGGTAGAGAGAGAGAGAACAGGTGAGTCTCTAACCTCGCGGCTGACATCACAGTACTTTCATGCGAGGGATGAGCAAAATCGAATGAATCTACTGGAAAAACATGGAAGTATACACTGCTACATTCGTTTACTCGTGCGTATATGTGTTTGTGTGTGTGCTTTAGTATCGCGTTTAATTCCTAGAATTTTCACCAAAAGGAATAAGCAAAAACGAACAAATAAACCACTAAAAATGGAAAAAGTATACTATCACATAAATGAACCTACGGCTAAAACGTGGTAGAGTACATTACCGATCATATGTGAGAGAGAGAGAGAGGGAAAAGACAGAAAGGCACTCAGTCTGCTACACACCATCGAAGAAGTGTCTAGAGCCACAATAGTCTCGATACATTCGAAATACTGGAAAGATCTGAATGTACCTAGGCCATGGAACGGTCCAGATCCATGTCGACCGTTGTACAAGTGTATGTGTGTGTATGTGTGTGCGTGTGTGTGTGTGCGTGTGTGTGTGTGTGTGTGTGTGTGTGAGTAAGAGAGAGAGAGAGAGAGAGAGAGAGAGAGAGAGAGAGAGAGAGAGAGAGAGAGAGAGAGAGGGAGAACTTGAAGGATGATGATGATGATGATGTGAGGGCACATACCTGGTATTGGAGATGGTCTGCACTGGTGGACATCTTCAAGTATTTCGTTGGTCGGTGACGTCAACAGTTGCATTGTCAATTAGTAGGCTGGTAGTAGCCCTATAGGAAGTAGGCTGGGCGCTGAGCACCAAGTGGGGAGAAGGACCTGGATACATATGTTGGTGGTAGCGAGAACGAGCTCTCATTGGTATTTAGTTTTAAGTGTTATGTTTCTCCATTGGTGTCATATTGGTGCAATGCTGCTTTTTTTTTTTTTTTTTTGACACTGTGATACGATTTGGCTTTCAATGTGATAATGCAGTCTGAATATTGTCATCTCGCTATTAATATTATTATTATTATTATTATTATTATTATTATTATTATTGCAATCAGACTCGTTTTCTTTTTCAACTCGCATACATGCAATCAGATGGTCAATCAAACTGGCGCTAGACGCCCACTCAAAACTCAGAGATATGGGGTTGGAGAACACAGTTGAGATGCAGACTCTCTTCGACCGGCTATGGCGCAACAACGCTTGTATGTCTCGCTGTCAACACTGTGTCCACCACTGTTGGCACACACACACACACTCGACTCTGGATCACCCTGAATATCCCACACGCACTCACTGTATCACACACACACATACACACTAACTCCTATCTCTAACTACGACAGCTATGACTGCTCACTAACAATACTACTAGGCGCTATCTCCCTTCTCGCCCACTTTGACTATGGGCATCTGCAGACCACCTTGCACAAGACACTCGGGCAGCGCTTCCACACGGCGCACAACAGAATGAATGAATGGTTGGGCGCTGCTTCTTGATTTATAATTCGGTTGGTCGCTGCTCTGCCCCTTTCCCACCGGACCCTTGGTGCACACAGTCCCACATGGTAGTTGTTGACTGGATTAAGTGGGACTGGGACTGGTACCGCTGACTAAGCACGGTAGAACTCACCACTTGCCCACTTCCCTCTAACTTAACGTGGGACCTTTCCGAAAGGCCACTTCCAGAGCTTCCGGAAGCCTACGAGCTTGATCTTTCGGGTATTGTAGCAACTACGACCTTGATCTTTCAGGACTGTAGCAGCTACGACCTTGACCTTTCGAAAACGCTACAATTACGATATCTTTACAACTTTGACCTCTACACGACAGACCTACAACTCAAGCTCACACAGGTCAACTGATACGGTACATGGGTAAGGGCGAGACATGGGATTGAGCTTGGGAAACATCTGCTACCGTAAAGGTAAAAATTGTTATAACTATATCATTATCGGTATAATTAGAAAAAGAGAGGAAGACAGAAAGCGAGGGAAAGAGAAAGAGAGAGAGATAGAGATAGAGGCGTACCTGGTCTTGGCAATGGCATACGAAGGTTGGCTTCATCATGTACGTCGGTTCGACTGCTGACAACAAACAGTTGCACTGTCAAATTATAGATTGATAATAGTTGTATGTTAGTAGTCTGGGCACAGAGCACCGAGTAGAGGAAGGGCTCTCGGTACTTATGTTGACGATGATGATAGCAGGCTCTCACTGACAATTGAATTCAATGCATTTTCATCAATGGAGTATCAATGCCTTATTGTTTGCCAAACAGTGTAGGACTTTCTGACTTTTCATGTGATTTAGCAATCTGCAATCTAGGTTTCTACCATTTCCCATTTTGTTACATTATTATTATTATTATTATTATTATTATTATTACTAGGCTACCAGCCGGGCCGCCCGGGTCCCGGGTGGCCAGCCCGTGCAAGGACCAGGGAAGGTCCCAGCAAAAACAAAATCAAAAAAAAAAAAAAAAATCAAAAAAAAAACTATGTTATGCAGAAAACTAAGCTGAACAACTTTTGCCTCAGGGTCACATCGACATTCTTCACCAAATTTAGAATTAAAAATAAATTCTAGAAATAATGTATTTATTTTTATTATTTTTATTTTTTTTGGCCAGGTCGGGCAAGTGACGCCGGGCCACTCTAGTAGCCTATTATTATTATTATTATTATTATTATTATTATTATTATTATTATTACTATTATTATTATTATTATTATTATTAATTTATTATTATTATTATTTTTATTACTATTATTGATGATTTTCACTACCGTCGCGCGCGACACCGCCTCCGCCATCCCGGCTCCC